TTTTTTTTTTTTTTTTTTTTTTTTTATCTTTTTTTTTTTTTTTTTTTTTTTTTGAGATGGAGTCTTGCTCTGTCGCCCAGGCTGGAGTGCAATGTCATGGTCTTGGCTCACTGCAACCTCTGCCTCCCGAGTTCAAGTGATTCTCTGGCCTTAGCCTCCTAAGTAGCTGGGATTACAGGTGCCCGCCACCATGCCCAGCTAATTTTTGTAGTTTTAGTAGATATCGGGTTTCACCATGTTGGCCAGGCTGGTCTCAAACTCCTGACCTTCTGATCTGCCCACCTGGACTTCCCAAAGTGCTGGGATTAGAGGCTTGAGCCACTGTGCCCGGCCCCAACCCGCAATTTGCAGAACCCCAGGACGACCAGTAAGGTTTGTCCTCTGGGATTTTCCTCCCCCCTACTCCCCTATTTGGATGGGGGACCAACCTCAGGTTCTTGTTGAAGCTCAGATCTTGTCCCGCCGTCTTCTTGATCTCTACCCTGGGAAGAGGCCCCCCAGCAGGTGAGGAAGGTGGAATCTAGAGGGGCCTTAGGAAGAGGGCTCTGGGTTTGGGAGGTGTTTCCTGGTCCCACCTACGGAGGTGAGGGTGTGCCCAAGTGGGGATCTAGGGTGGGAACATGGAGGTTTTGGGTTGCCACTGACCCGGGAGGTGGGGGCGGCGGCATTGGTGGCAACAGAAAGCCCAGAAGGCGGGCAGTGGGTACGAACGTCCGGTGGGTGGCCAGGAAAGCAGGCACAAAACTGGGGTCCTGTTCACGGTCTCCAGACACCAACTCTCCCACCAGCCGCTCCAGGCGTGCTGCCCTTAGCACCCGCACTTTGCTGGTTCGATAGTGGAGGAAGGTGTTGGCAGCAGATGGGCTGGGGGCCTGCAGGAGGGGAGGGGTGGCCATGAAAGACCGGGAGTGGTCCTTGAAGCACCTTCTCTAATCACGTTTATCCCTAGCACCACTCTTTTTTCCTTACTTTTTTTTTTTTTGAGATGGAGTCTTGCCCTGTCACCCAGGCTGGAGTGCAATGGTGTGATCTCGGCTCACTGCAACCTCCGCTTCCAGGGTTCAAGGGATTCTCCTGCCTCAGCCTGCCAAGTAGCTGGGATTACAGGTCTACGTCACCATACCCAGCTAATTTTTTGTATCTTTAGGAGAGATGGGGTTTCACCACGCTGGCCAGGCTGGTCTCGAACTCCTGACCTCGTGATCCATCACCCGGCCTCCCAAAGTGCTGGGGTTACAGATGTGAGCCACTGCACCCAGCCCCTAGCACCGCTTTTTTTTTTTTTTTTT